CTCTTTCTCGGCATGTGTGAGAAAAAAGGAGGAGGAAAAGAGATATGCTAAAATGTTTCAAGAAAAGGGTGTGGGGGGAGTCATAAGGTGTAACGGGAAGTTCCAAATCAACCTCGCGATCAGAGACATGAGTGCTCTCTGTCACTTGGTGGAAAATCTCTAATTTCAGGGGACTCCCACGATAGGTTTTGCCGAGTTTGGGCGGGGAGGGTTTTTTCGCTTTGGCCCACACCTTGCAGACTTCCTGTGTAGAAGGGCCTTCCTTTTGAAATGGATCTCGGCCTCCATTTTTGCACCCTCCTGCAGAGAAGGATCCTACCTTTTGAAAGGAAAAGGACGACTGATGTTAAATAAGATACTATTAATTGCGCATCTGTGACCAGACAAGTCTCAAGAGGCTTTAAACAGGAGGAGGAAGCAAAGATGCTGCCGGAGCTCCGGGCCCCAGAGGGCCCTGGCCGCGGCTATGCCTGCCGCAAGGGGTAGCACCAGCCTGCTCGCCGCTGACCCCCCCAGCGGTTTGATGGGAGGTCGTTTCCAAAAGCGCCCTGGCCTGCTCAGCCTTCCAGAGCCAGCTCCACAAAGTGCCCCAATTGTCTTTAGCTCTGGGTCTTTCTCTCCTTTTCTGTCCAAGTTCAGAAGTTGTTTCTTTCTGCAAATAAGGCAAGCAAACTTTGTACACCATAGAAAGGCAATGGTGTTTCTTTCCCAGGTTTGGACCCGCTGAGCCAAAGGAAGCTGCTTTTTAAATGCGGCCCTCTCCTTTTCCATGCTTCTTTCATGCTGCAAGAGTTTTGGCTGTGTCCAGCTTTGAAACATACCCTAAAAACCAGCCAAACAACAACCCTCAAATAAAGAGATGGAGTGAGGAGTGGGACAGAAGTTTACCCTGGGTTTAAGCCTCTCCTACAAGAAATCTCCATGGGGCTTAACATTGCTTAACCTGGGTTGAATCACCGGGTGCAAACAAGCCCACTCTTACAAGATAATCTAAGACACTCTATTGCTGGCTTTAATGGAGCATAACTTAACTTCTAAGAAAGCTTCTCATAAGCACACCTCTGCATAAATCGATTACTGTCAACTTGCCTGGGTGTAAGCAGGAGTAGAAATGCATAAGAATGCACTGTGAATGAGACCGGATCAGAGAACAAAGCTAGGTTAAAACAAGATCTTTACAATTCATTTTGTATATTCTATTAAAATATAATAGAATAATATACATGCATTATAATTGCTGCCCTTGAACTGAAGTGCATCGGTTTTTGCATGGGACTGATTGCAAAATTTCTACTGGGGTTGCTTTATGCCCCATTCTTAGTCCAAGTCACTGGGTCACTCGAATTATTGGGGGGGGGGGGGAGGAAAGGAAAGATGGTGCGCCTTGACTGGAACATGCTCCCATGGCCTGAAATGTTAAGGGCACTGTTCTGTGCGTGATTAGGTGGGAAGGGGGGGAATTCTAAGCCTAAAACTTGCAGGACTTCCTTTGGGTCTACAAGTATATAGGGCGGCAGCCTATGGGAGCCTGGGCTCTCCCAGCCCTGCCTGAAAAGGGAGGAAGCCCCTTTGATGCTGCGACTGTGTGACATGCAACCCACTGGGAAGTGCAGGGCCAGAGGGGCATTCCTTCACCCCCCCCCACCTTCCATTGTGGTGGCCTCTGATTGAAGCCAGGGCTCCTGCTGCAGAGCGAGAGGGTGATGTAGTGCAGGTGACGGGATGCTGGGCGGTCCTGCCGGGAAGAAAAAAACAAGCAAACGTGCTTCTGGAGGCACCTCTGTGTGTACATTCGTGTGTGTTCACGTGCATGCATGCATATAGTGCCAGTGTCGGTTCACGTGTATGTTTGCAGTCCTGTCTCAGAAAGTTCGCTCCGGGCGGTGGCTTGCAAAACATATCAATACCGTTCCCTCTGCCCAAACCTCCCCGCCACGGTTGCTGCCACCGTCCTGCCAGCTTCTTGGGCCAGCCGAAGTTGTGCTTGCCTGCACGGAGGTTCCCCACCCGCTGGCCCCGGGAGCGTGTGCCCCCCCCCTTCTGCTTGCGGCGCTGTTGAGCTTCGGGCAGGTGGGGAAGATCTGCCGCTCTTGCGGGCGCCTCGGCGGCTGGCGCTGGGCACCTGGCTCACCCGGGCAACAGGCTGGCGCTGGGTGTTCAGACGAGCCTTGGCGTGGGGGACAGCTCTCTTTTCGGAGGGCCTTTCTCTTACCAGCTCTGCACTGCTCCTTCTTAACCGGATTCAGCCTTTCTGTTGTTCATTCTCGGGAAGTTTTTAAAAATCAAGGAAGGTACCTGGGGAGACGAACTGGAGGAGAAGGGGGGAGAAGATGAATCCAGAAAGGGGCTAAAAGAAACAGTTTGTTTCTCCGTCGTCTAGGATTACTGGCTTGGTATTGACTTCGGATTTTCATTTTTATTTTCAAGTCTTTTCATCGGCTGATCTAAGTGCCGCTAAAGCAGAAACAAACCCAGGCCCGTGCCTATCCGTTACCCAATGGACTGCACTCCATTTTCCCCTGTTCCCTGACTCATGCGCCCTGTTCTCAAAAAGCATCAGGCACCAACCAGTTCAGGGAAGCTTAATGAATGGGCTTCCACACTGCAGCCAGTTTTCTTAGCAAAAGGATGCCTCTGCCTTCTTGGACCTGTAGATCTCGCTGTGGTTCAACATTCGGAGCTCCGCTGTGCAGGCTGGTTCCACTCCGAAGCCTGCTCGCCCGCTGCAATTACAGGTAGCCGCTTGACTCACACGCACACGTTACCACTGGATCGAGGCGTTCTCGTTTCACAACCAGCAGAAAGAGGCAAGCCCCTGATCTCACTCAGGATTTTAAAAGGGCTGCTTATTGCCCATACTGAGTGCGAAACCGGGGGAATGCAGAACGCTCCGTCAGTGAAATGGTTCCAAGGGGAAGGCTGGGAAGGGTGCCACCTAGGCAATCCGAATTGAATTTGAATTACTAGGAGGATTTTTAAAGAAGCCTACTGTTAAAAATTTAAGCGAAGAGGCCGGGTCTCACCCATATGTAGCAAAGCAAAGAAAGGAAGGGCTCTTGCCCAGAGACAGAAAGGGGCACAGCCCTCCCCACGGTTAAACAAGGGCTGTTCCAGTCCCCAGAATTTAAATCCCCAGCGTCATTCCCGTTCTGCAAAGCCAACCTGAGGCTCAGCTCATCCCGGTTTGGGTGTTATGCCATCTCTTCTCAAAAGCCCAGCTCCTTGATGTCAGCTGTGTGGGAATTAGCTACTGTTGACAGAAAAGCACTCTGCATATGCTTGAAAGGCACTTTGCCTCTTTTGGCCGTGACATCATATAGGCCAGGATGTATCCTTCCTCTAATAATTGAAAAGCGGGCTTGGGCATAAGCCCTAGCCCCAAAGAAACCTCCTTGGATGGCAAGAGTGAAGGAAACTCTGCAGATCCAGATGTAAACCCATTAAATCACATTGATACAAACTTGGCTGCTGCCCCATGATTCCCATCTATTCCTAAGCACCTAATTTGGCGTAATGTAAATCCTCTTGCCCTGAATGGAATTTACACCGGTCCAGAGTGCTCTGCTGCGGGTCCTCATCTAAAGCGCTTGCACTCTGAGCATTTCCACCAACAACGCCACCCTAAAAATTTAACTTTGCTTGATTTCCACTGAACTTACTCAGAAGTCCTTGTGCTTGGACAGCAGTCTCAGAACTCCAGAACAGGGGTGTTTCTGCCGGATTTGTCGCGCAAGCAAATGTGGCATGTCCTTGGACCAAAGGACAACACCCTAAACAACCCAATCATGGGAGATCCCTACTGGGAAAGCTTTCCTTTTTGTTAGATCACCAGAAGGAGATCTTCCTTCTCTTTCCGTAAAAACACAGTGACCATGTAGGGGGAGAATAGGCCTTGATGTTCTGAAAGAATACAAAGAATGAAAAGCACAAAAAGGAGGTGAGAAAACTTGTCTGGAAACAGGCGATTCCCAGAGAATGGGCATTGAAGACATGCGCTCTTACCCAGACTGACTTAGGAGGGCGTTGCGTGCAGGGATTACTTCTGAGTAAACATGAACAGGATAGGACCGCAGGGTTAGGATCCTAGCTATATCATAGTTAGAAGTAAGTCTCTCTGGAACCAGCGCTACTTACTTCTGAGGAAACAGGAAACATAGGATCGGCCTGCGCGTTGCTGTCCACTAAATTCAGCGGGAGTTTTCCCATTGACCGTCCTGGGATCAAAATAGCTGCTGTGGGGAAATCTCTTTCATTTAAATGTTATCTCCAGGAGAGAAAACGGGGGAAATAGTGCCTCCAAAGAACAACTACAAGCGCAAAAAGGGTGAACTGGAGCGCTGGGGAGCGGGTGGAAAAGGCCAGCACGGAGGGTCACGTAAATCATGACTTGGGAAAAGCGAGCCCCCGAATGCCTTCACCGCGCACCCCCTCCTCGCCTGCTCCCCCCACCGGCCCACCCCACCCCACCCCACCCCATCCCACCCCACCGCACCGCACTCCGCTGGGAATCCTGTCGGGGGAAGGAGCTGGCGGGAGGCTCTTGGGCGCCGGGCGCCCCTCGCGTGCGGGTGTCGCCCGCCGAGCGATTGGCCTATTGTTGCCATGCTAATGAGGCGATTAGGCTGTTGGTAAAAGACTAGCTTGGAAAAGGGGAAAGTTTCGACCATTAGAGGGAGATCTCCGAGCGGGCACGGGAGATCGCCTCCTCCTCCTCCTCCCCCCCCCCCCCCTTTTCCTTCTCCCCACCCCCCCCCGCCGGCCCCCCCCCCCCCCCTGGGGGGGGGCCCCGCCGGGGGGCCGGGGGACTCCCCCCCCCCCCCCCCCCCCCCCCCCCCCACTTTTCCTTCTGCTCAAGCTCTCCAGCGGGCGCGCTCTGCATGCCAGAGGAGAGCGCAAGGCAGGCAGGCAGGGCAAATCAGCCGCCTCTCTCTCTCTCCCTCTCTCTCTCTCTCTCCCTCTCTCTCTTTCTCCGTCTCTCTTGTCTCTCGCCACGCCAATCCATGAAAATGCTTTGGAAACTGACGGATAATATCAAGTATGAGGAATGTGAGGTAAGCGCTTTCCCGCGGCTGGGGCGCCCTTGAGAGACGAGGACCCCCGCTAGCTTCCACCCGCGCCCCGCCATCCGAAGCCAGTGCCATGGCGGTGGAGGCGGCGGGAGGAAGCACCTTGCAGCCGCCAGCCTGCTCTGGAGGGCAAACTTCTGCGCTGGGCTCCTTGGCAGCCCTTCCAGCTGGAGCGAGACGAGGGCAGCCAGGGGCACTGACGGGGGCGGCAGCTTGGCAGGACGGCTTAGAAGCAGCAGCAGCAGCAGCAGCCTCGGTCGCAGTAGACCAGGAGGGGAGGGAAGCTCGGGATGCATGGACCTTTTTGCGGAAGCAGCTTTGCCCCAGCAGCGGCGGGGGCGGGCTGGGAGAAAAGAAAAGAAAAGGGAATGAATGAGTCAGGCGTCTGAATGCTTGGGTGCGAGGAAGGCGGCAGGACAAAGAGAAGCCCGGCCCGATTCAGCAGAGCGGTGGCCGAAGATCTCCCGGGGAGATCCACAGGTCCGCCGAGCCCTGGCGCGGGACCCCCGTCTCCCCGGCTTGGCCAGTTGTCACTTCCGCGTCGACCCTTGCGCGTGCGGGCGCCGTCCTTGCTCCTCTTCGTCAGTCGATTAGCGCTTGATGAGAGCAGCGCGGCTGAGGCGCACGCCTTTCAAACTCAGATGCCGCCTCGAAGGCGTTGCTATTGGGAGACGCCCGGAGCTGAGACGGTACGGAGGGTGGCGTCTTCCGCATGCGGGGCGAGGGAGCCGTCTGCCCGCCCGCCCGCCCGGCATGCGGCGCATCGCTGGCCACGGATACAGGGATGCGCGCACACTCACACGCATATATGCAAATGCATGTATGTGTACAGACGCATCTCTCTCTCTCTCAATATACGTCTCTCTGTGTGGGTGTGTACACACACACACACACACAACGAGAGAATTCTGGAGAGGTTTATACTTGATAAAAGGTTTAGCATGTGGTTTAATACAGTGGTGTGTTTAAGGAAATGTTTCGATGGATAAACAGACAGATGAATAGGATGGACTGTAGGAGTGAAGGCAAGGATGGTTAGTGAAAGAAGCGCATCTCGAAGTTGTTAGCAACACAGTTGACACGGTTAAATGATTCAAGAGGGTCCGGTTTCCCCCCGCTGGTAGATCGCAGAGACAATGCCGTCCTAAACCGATCTTTCTGCAAGTCTTTTTCCCTGTCCAAAAATATTGGTTTTGTGGGTCTTTGTTTGCCTCACCAGTCTACTGGACCGGTGTGCGGTACACACACCCACGCGTGGATGCACGTAAACCACACACGCACGCACACGGTTGCTTCCTTCGTGCTGCGCACACGGCAAAATCCGGCGAGTGACAGATTCAGAAAACAAATGTGGTTTGGTGTTGGGATTTATGACCCCTTTGCAGGGGCAAGTTTGTCTACAAATGTCAGAATAGGAGCTACAGGCGTGCGGCAGGAGAGCTCCTTTTCACTTTAATACAAGGGACTGAAAAAGATGTGTGGTTTTCTCTCGCGCGTTCTTTTCCTCTCCTCCCTGTCTCTACACACGACCCCAAACAGTCGTTTTAGGGGGAAAGCCATTTATTTTTCGGTGTTCAAGGAGCAGCACCCGTGGCTGTGGATTTGCGTGCAGAAAGAAGTCTTTTGTCACGGTTGTTTTCTCTCTTGCGGCTCCAGACCCAGGTGGTAAACAAGTCCAGCGGTCGGGAAGGCTTTTGGGGGTGCGGGGTGGGGGGCTTGAATGATCTCTTCTGTAAGGAAAGGCTCAGCTGCACGGCTTCGGTTAAGGGCAGCCTGCAACTGACGGAAACGCCTGAAACTGACTAGGAAAGCTTGAAATTGACTAGGCTTCCAATCCTATCGAACCTGCGGGATTTACTTCCAAGTAAACATGCCTAAGGCGGCACTGCTGGACACGTTGGAGGAAATAATCCTTTTTTTTTTAAAGTCTTATAATAGCACAACTTTGAGAAGGTGAAAGTGCTCTTGGCTTGACTTAGACTCGCTTCAACGTTTGTTTAATACGATTTATTCTGGAAGGGAACTTTTCGTGCCTCCATTCTCATTTCCATCAAGTCGGGGTTTTTAAAATACACACCTCCGTGCTTCTCCGCTTGCTTTTTTGGCCGCGAAGCTACGGTGCTCCTCTCGGAAGGCGGGGAGAGGCTCGCAGGCGCGCGGGTTGCGCCGGCGGAGGTGCGCGCGCGCGCGCTCTGGCGTGGTTCGGGCGCCGGGAGAGTTTTGCCGGGACTTGCTCGCTCGGCGGCAGAGCGCCTGTTGTTATGATAAGCCGGCAGGAGAAGCGGCGCGGCGCGGCGCGGGCCTGTCTCCTCACTGGCTGCGAGTCGCCCAGCCAGTTGGACGGGTTGGGCCGAGTCTGGGAGCCCGAGCTTGTCAGGGCCAGCCTAGCGCCAGTCGCCTCCCTTTCCTCCTGCCCTCCCCCCTCGCACTTCGCCACCCCTTTCCCCGATCCTCGGCCCCGACGGGGGAAAGCGCCGTGGGGCTCCCAGGACGAGGAGAGCCGCTCCGCCGCCGGTGTCCCCGGCGGGGCCTGAGCCGCGAGGGGCGACGGGGATTCCGCGCGCGGCGCAGGGAGCCCGGGGCTCCGGCGAGGCCCTGCCCCTGTCGCCGCCGCCGCCGCCGCCGCCTCCGGGCCGTCGAGTCATGGACGTGACGCAGCAGGACGCCGCCGGAGAGGAGCAGCCGGGCCCGGCCGAGCACGGGCCGCTGAAAGGCGCGGGCGCCAAGCCGGGCTCCGAGAGCGGCGCCTCCGGGGCCAAGAGGGGGCCCGGAGTCCCGGAACTGCTGGCCCTTCCCCTCGAGGTGCCTTCCTTCGGCCGGCAGCCGCCGCAGCAGCTCGCCGAGGTGCGCCCCGCGCCTCTGCTCCGCGCCGGGGCCTCCGCTTCCCTGCTCCCCCTCGCGAGACGCGCCCGGCCTCTGCTCCTGCCCCCTTCTCCCGAACCTCGGCCCTGCCCGCTCCGCTCCTCTCCTCTCCTCTCCTGGGAGATTCCCTCCGTCCCCGGCCTACTGCTCCGTCCGCCTGCCCTCCTCCTTCCCCTCCCGCCTTCCTCTACCGCGGGTCCCCAGCCGCCTCTTTCCCGAGCCCTTCGCCTCCCTTTCTCCCGCTGGCCTCCTTCGCCCCGTCTGCAGCTTGTCTTTTGCGGCCTCGCCTCTCCTCGCCTCTCTTCCTTCCTTCCTTCCTGGCTTCTTCCTCATCCACTTCTTTCCTGTTGCTCTTTCGCATTCGCTCTTTCTCGCGCGCTCCCCCTCTGCTTATTTACCCCTCTCCGCTCCCCCGCCCACGCTTCCTTCGCCTTCTCCCTCTCTCGTCCCTCGCCTGCCGCCTGCCTGGGCGCGCTCCCATCCTCTCGCTCTCCCCGGCTCTCTTTCTCTTTCACTTCTGCTGCATGCCCTGCAACCTTTTAAAATGTTGCCCCTTTCCTGTGATTCGTCAGACGCAGCAACGGCATGGCTCTCCAACCCCCCCCCCCCCCCCCATCAACTCCTCTCGCTCCCTTTTTGTCTCTCTCTCCCTCTTCCCCCCACCCCGGCTCTCCCCCCAATCTCTGATTAGATACACTGATTCTTCATTCAATGGACGTCATTTAGAACAGACTCTGCCTTGAGTTGCTTCCTCGCTTCACGCTCGATTTCCAGCCATTCTTCCCTTATTAAGTATTCGTGTAATATTAATAGTCATGAATATCTGCTATTAGGACTCTCAAGGAAAGCAAGCTGCAGATCGCTCTCTCTCTCGCTCGCTCGCTCGCTCTCTGATTAGGAGCTCACGTGAAGCAGGCAAAAGGAGGCAGAGAGAGAGAGAGAGAAAGAGAGAGAGGTGGGAGCAAACGCGCACACGGATTAAGGAGCGCACACCCGCACGCACGCACGCGCTCGCTCGCTCGCTCGCTCGCTCACACTCAACTTTGCACCGTGCGGTCACGGCGACGAGGCTCTCGCCTTCGCAGCTGCAGAACGCGGGGCGCCTGGTCAAGTTCTGATGGATTATAGACGCGCTTCCCCGGCGCTCGCGGACGGCAGCCTGGGCGTTGGGGGCTTGGTGTAGCCGCAGCCTAGACCCGGGCTTCTCCCATTGTGCGTGTGCGCGTGTGTGCATGAGAGCGCGAGCGAGAGAGCTCGTGTGCAAGAGGGAGAGAAGGAGCAGAGGAAAGGGACAGATAGGGAGAGGGCGAGCGGGCCAGAGCGAGAGGAGAGCGCGCTTAAAGACCACACTTTTCTCTGCCTTTTTCCTGCCCTGACTTGGTACCCCGAATCCGCGCAGATGTTAGTTCACAGTTTCTCAGCGATGGTGAGTGGCTTCGGCATGCTCTTTCGGGGTCGGTTGGGGGGGGGGTGTTGTGCTTCGTATGCCTTTTCGTAGCCTAGCTGGGGATGGGGTCGCGCAGCCTGCGAAGACCTGCCTTCCGGGTCTGCCCCCCCTCCGCTTTTTCTTTTCTTTTCTGAAAAAATAAAGAACTTCTTGATTGCTGCTTTGGCTGCTTCAGGTTAACTACAAAGGCTGGCCAGGCTTCCACACCCGTCCATTGTTTTTGTTTGATTTGTTTTGTTTTGTTTTGTTTTGCTGTGCTTGGCTCTGCTCTGCTCTGCTCTCCCCACCCCTCCTTCCAATTGCATTTCGCATCTCTCCGCGTCTATCCTTTCCCGGGATAACAGCGCTCGTTGTGAGCCTGAAGCCGAGCGCATTTAACGATATCTTTCTTCTAATTCCCACCCCCACCCCATCTCCATTTGTGTGGCTGTTAATTTCCCTTAGACGTACCTGTGGGCTATAATTTCATAACCTCCCAAGTCCCAATTGTATACCGGAAAAAGCATTTACATTTTCGATCCTCTTCCCACCAGCGTTGGCTTCATCTCTGTTTCCCAATTATTTCTCTCGTTTGTTCTTTTCATTATCTACGCTAAATATATTTGGTGTGTATGTGTGATGTATATGTGCATGTATATTTGTGCGCGCGCACACACACGCACACATTATATATATATATATGTATGTATGTATTATATGCATATACTGTATGGTTGTGTGATATTGCAATACAGTTGCATTCAGCAAAGCAGTATGTTTTTATGGATGGTCGATCTCAATCATTTTTCCTCCCTCACCAAGTTTGTAAATGGCCAGCTTAATTTCAAAATCACATTTTGGTCATATTTCTGGACAGACTTCTGGGGTAATGGCATCTCTTTTTTGGTGACCTTTTCCCGGGAAAATGGCATTATAAGTGAAGCAAAGCTATAGCATCACTTTTTCTTTTTTCTTTTTGAGGGAATGTGTATACATTTATTCACTCGTTTTTTCCTTTAAAAAATCCAAGGTAGATATGTGTCCTTTTTTGTTTTGTTTTGTTTTGCAAATGGTACCGCTATGCTTTTGAAAAGGCATGGTTAAGTCCAAATTTGAAATGATTCTTCCTCACACTAATAATATTTTCTGGATGTACAGTCCATGTACACATTCGTTGTTGTTCTATTTAAGACTTTTTATTTTGGTTAATAAGAGTGCACACATTTCCAATGTGCAAAGACGCCAGTGTCCTCTGGATGAGAAAATCTCCCGAGCTGGCTTCCTCCCCTTTTGCCCTGAGCCAAATGATTGCGAATCGCACCGACACAGTTTGGGGCGGCGGGGGGTGGGGGGGGGCACAAAGCAGCTGGCCTGTAAAACAGCTTGATTTTGACCTTGGTCTCTCTCTCGCCCACCCCGCGCCCCTTCTCTTTTTCTCATTCATTAGGATCGTCACGATGGCACCAGCAATGGGACAGCCCGGTTACCCCAGTTGGGGACTGTGGGACAGTCCCCCTACACCAGCGCCCCTCCGCTCTCCCACACCCCCAACGCTGACTTCCAGCCCCCTTATTTCCCCCCACCGTACCAGCCCATTTACCCGCAGTCCCAAGACCCGTATTCCCACGTTAACGACCCCTACAGCCTGAACCCGCTTCACGCCCAGCCCCAGCCCCAACACCCAGGCTGGCCGGGACAGAGACAAAACCAGGAAACGGGGCTTTTGCACACGCACCGCGGGCTTCCCCACCAACTGTCCGGCTTGGACCCACGAAGGGATTACCGGCGGCACGAAGATCTATTGCACGGACCTCATGGCTTGAGCTCAGGACTAGGAGACATTCCCATCCATTCAATACCTCACTCTTTAGAAGACGTACCGGTAAGGAGAATGAATTGGATACAATCCAGCGCCCGCCGCGCGCCCCCCCCCCCCCCCGCTTCTCCTACTTGCCCTTCCACACGGTGCCTTTCCCCCACTCTCCACCCCGGCGTTGCCGGTGGGAATTAGATGCACATTTCAAGCCCAGTGAACTCCAGCCGATGGTGAGGAAAGCTAGGTGAGGGGCTCCAGGCAGGGTTTCGCTCTTGTTTCATCACACCCCACCGGCGTCTTCCGTGCAAATACCTAAGTACTGCTACCACCACCACAAATCGCGTCAATTCAATGGTGGGAAGGGCGGGAGGGAAGAAAAAGCACCCATCGAGATATAATTCAAACTAATGTCACCTTTGGCGATCCGTTTTTCCTGCCCAGTGACCATGATGGGAAGGCTGTGCCAAAACAATATGGTCTGAGGGCCGTTACTAGCCTTCAGTGGGATCCTGGCCAGCTTGAGAAAGAAAGCCCTGGCCCCAAACCTATCCAGGATTCATGAAATACCTTTCCTGGTCCTGGGGACCAGCAAGAAAGAGAGCAAGGGAACTGCAAAATACAAAGCACGGCAAACAAAAACCACAGTTATTGAGAACTGAAGAACTGGCAGAGCCGGTGTCTGTGGTAGTAAGAAAATTCAGACAGCTGAATGGAAGAATATCGATTCAGTATTGTTTGCTTCGAAGGCGAAATTCGAGTGTGTTTTATTCTTCTTGCAGACCATTTGGGGCTGGTCATAATCTTCTAGCTAAGAGCTTTTCAGCACCCCAAATAATTACTGTCCACTGTCTGGAGTTGATTTCTCTTGAGGGTAAATGCAGTTTCAGAAGATTTTTAATGCTGAAAGAGATTTGCCACCAAGACGGGCCATGGTCCACCTTATGTGCTTGAATGCAAACTGGCAAGTCACTATCAAAGGGTCCCTCCTTTCCGGTTGTGAAAACAGAATCTGAGCTCGACAGCAATTTGAAGTATGTCTCCAATGCTGCTTACAGCAAGCAGAAAATATTTGTGGGTGAGGGGAGAGCTGGCTTGTGGTATCTGTATGTGATCATTGTTGCTCTTACTAAAATGCCATCCCAAATTATAGGATCAAATATTATAACAATATATCCGTTGACAGTTTGATGATTGGAAGTTTCATGTAGCGAGGATGATGTTCTTCTGTTTGGAGGTCATTTATTCTAGTTTTAGTCCCCACACATACACTTAAGCAAATCATACTTGAAGGGGGTGGGGGGAGAGGTCTCTCTTTGACTTAGTTCACCCCAGAAAATTGCCGCTGAACTTCAGTTGTTTGGCAATGCACCCATGCATTTGTTGAGCTGTGTTTGTGGTGTGTGAGGATTTAGGAAGCAATTAGGTAGGGCAGGTAAAAGAAAATACTTTTTTTGTTTTAATTTGAAAGAAAAAATGGCATGTAAGCAAGATTTAAAATGGGTTGCAGTTTTAAGCACTCTTGCCCTTGTGGTGGGGGGTGGGGGAGAGGGAAGAGCTGTTTAAATCAAAGGGATCCACTTTCAAGGAAAGTAGCCCCATGGAAATAAATAGGATTTCCAACCACATGTGTTTAGGAATGTGGATTTGAACTACTTTGATGCTAGCAGGTTTCAGTTACTGTGTGAAATGTGAGCTGAAGTCCTCCCCCACTTTTTTGGGGGGGCGAATTATGTTTTGTGATAATACATTCTAAGTGCAATTTTTTTTGAATGTTAAAAAGGAAATACACCTTATTTTAACCCCTTTCTCAGGTGGCACTGACCAGTCACTCAATGCAATTTCAGAAAATCAGATACTGGTTGCATTAAATCCTTAAAAGAACACCCCTCGCCCCCATCCGTTTAAGCAAGGACAGATCTACAACCCGGTTAAGCTGAAGGTCTTTTGGGCAACAGAGAACCTTTAAACAGATAGAACTGGTATAAAACAGGCTGTTTTGACCATTGAATTGCAAAGGCACCTTTCAAAGGTCCTTCTTCAAAGGCAGGGTGTGCGGTGGGTAGGGAAGTTCTTTTAAAGGAATTTGGGTCATGGAAAAAGGTCATTTTCAATTTTCCCATTGTTGCCGCAGTTAACCTTTCATAGAAGTGCGACTCCTCAGTATTGAAGACATGCTAAGTCGAGGGCGAGAATTATTTAAGTATAAATATCTCGGCGGGATTTTAAAACCTAACAGTCGGTGGTTTTCGTGGACTCTATATAGGTAGAGAAATCAGACAAATAAAAACGTTACGCCCCACTACATTTACTTTATGGGTTTAGGGCGCCTGCTTGAAGGGATCATATTTCCCCATATAGTTAAAAAAATCCAAAGCAAACTGGAGCAGTAGTCATTTCTAACATTTCTCAATTTAATTATGCTCAAATCCAGAAGCACTTTAGGCAAGTTACAAATGAGAGCATTGAGTACAATAAAACCTGTAATAAAGCAACTTCGTACCATCCACCCGGAATCATTGAGATCAGGCACAATTAACAGGAGCATAAATCCAAGGCAGAATGGAAAATGTTAGACTTGGTATTATTATTATTATTGGGCAGAGACTAGAGAGGGAAAGCAAAAGGGGTTCTGGGGGTGTCTGTCGCCTGCTTGTGTTTTAAAAGGCAGTGCCTGCGTTCTGTAACAGGATTGCAGAATTTTCTATCTCAGCAGTGCTGGTGCTAATTTGTAAACAGAGACAGACACATTAGATTGACTGTCAGGTTGGGAATTAGAAAACATGATCTGCATTTTACTTTCTAATCACGTTTTGGGCTCGAGCGCGCGCTCCGCCCGCGTGCCCGCGCACACGCATCCATCTCTGGGAGAATTCAAGGCAGCAGCAAGACCTGCTTGTGGACAATAGCAGAAAAGGCTGCGCTCTGCGTTCTGGGGCTGGGTGGCTTTCCGAAAGTTAGTTGCCTTCCCCTCCAGTCTGTTGTCTCTCACAAATATGTTGAGTGGGGGCGGCATTTCCTCCCCCCCCCCAGATGGTTATTCCTCCTCCTGCTTCTCCTGCTCCTTCTGACTTCCATCGCCTTTTCCTCTGTTCTCCGTGCTCAGAGGAGGCCCAGAATTACCACTCCGGAATCCTATGATCATGTTCATTACCATTTTAAAATAAAATAGACGAAGCATCCGATGCGCACAGTTAAAATGCTGCCTTTACTTTTTAAAAAATCCTAAAATGTCCAAATATCGAAATGAAAGCTGTTCCTTCAGAGAGCTGTTAAAAATTCGAGTAGGTTATAGCAGTGATGAGAGAAAGGAAAATCAGCAAGCTCGTAGCGTGTTTCTTTTTGTATGTTTAAATATTCACGTCCCTATATATTCCTTCTGTTGCAGCACGTAGAGGACCCGAGTATTAACATCCCAGATCAAACTGTAATTAAGAAAGGTAAGCCATTTCCTTTAGCATTCCAAGCATGTCCTCACAAGCTTGGTAGCGCTGCCGAGAGAACTTGCTAAAGCCATTGTTTCCCTCCCCCCGCTCTCCTCGATGTAATTTACAACAGGCTAGAAAATGGAAAACGAAATTGACAATCCCGGCTGAGAACAACCTTTTAGTTAATCCCAACCTCTGTGATTGTGTACGTGTGTGATTATATTATCTAGCTAAACGGATCCAGGTTTTAGTTTTTCCTAATCTCATTCGTGGTTCAGAACGGACTTCTAATTTCTCTAGTTGGCCTGAAATTATTTTTCATTACCAAAGAAAACACCAGCCCCCCCCCCCGCCCCCGGTCCTCCCCCGCCCCTCCCGGCCAGGTTTATGAGATTGTTCGGGATTGTTTACATCAGAGGGCTTTGTTGTAACAAGCGAGCAAGGATGGCGGAAGGGCTTTGCTTGGCGTGCTCTCCGTGGCGGGGTTTCCGATTGTTTCCTGAACGGCAGAGCCGGGCTGTTCCTGCTGCTGCTGCTGCTGCTGCTCGTGGCGCGACGGAGCGTTTCGCCTGGAAGAGGGAGCGAGCTCAGTCCCGGCCTCTTCCAAGCGCCAGTGCAAGGCGGTTGTGGGGAACGACACGCGGCCCCGGGCTTTTTAGGGTCGTCTTTGTTTCACAGGTCGTTCTCGGGGTTGCCAACAGGGCAAGGCGACTGTCGCCTCTTTTGAGTCCTGTTCGGAGAACTGTTCTTGGCGTGAGGCCGGTTGGGCTTGGCCGCTGGGCTACTCTTCCCTGGGAAAGGGCCCTTGTTCGCAGTCGCTCTAGCGGAGGGTTTGGGGCTTTTTTAGGCGTCCCCAAGGTCGGATGCTCTGCAAAGCTGCTCTCCTTTGGAAACCTTAGCACCGCGCAGCGAAAGCTAGTTTCAACCCCCCTCCCAATCTGGGGAGCCTTTGTCACGTCAAATTAGATGTGCAAAGAATAAATCTTAAAGAGATGCTCTTTCCAAGTCGACATGATAATTGGCTCTTTTATTAGTAATCTCAAGAGTTCGTTTAACTCCTATTGTCTCTATTAGCCTCCCCAGAGCTATTAATGTCACAAGTGATCTATCCAAAACCTAGATATCCCTCCTCCTCGCTCCACCCTTTAACATTTGGATTTGGCCCACTAAAGTGAGGATGCGAAGCGCGGGTGGGGCGCAGGGAGAATTGGGATCCGGGGGAATAAACAGATGATGACAAAAGGGTGAATATTTATAGTGTAACTGGGCTGGAACGTGAATACAGCGTCCATTGCACACAGCCAAGGCTGGCCTTATTTTTTCTCACTCATGTTTAGTCATGCTGGGAAACGCAGAAAGCCTTGCTCTTGTCCTGGATGTCATATAACAATGCCCCATATATTTCTCGCTTGGGGAAAGGAGAAGGCTAAAGAAAAGAGGAGTGTCAGGGAAACAGATTTTGGCTTTTTGGGGGGGGGGGAGTGGCTATGTACGAAGTTAGGCAGACGCGTGCGCTTATTTAAAGAAAGGACAACACTCTTTTCTGATGGGGAAAAATACCTCCTTGGGTCCTCCCTTTCCAGTATTAAAAGGTGCACAGAGGTTACACTTTCCAGCTCAATTACTTTGGAACGGTTCAATTGGCCTACTCAAGGAACAAGTACCGTGCAGATTGTACCAATAAACCCTCCAGAGCAGGCCGAACTATCATTTGGACGTCAAATTTATTTTTATAAAATTAGGAGAGGCACTGAACTGTTATATGGTATAGTCAGTAAGCTGAGCCTGCCAGCTTGAGCGTACCGATTTGGCTCCAAATTCCGACAAAATCGAGAGAATTTAGTTGCCACCGAAACCCTTTAAGACCGAAGTGGGCAAACCCAGCCTCCTCCTCCCGACCTTAGGAAAGCCTCCGTTTGACATAACCCCCTTTTTCGACGGATCTTTCAGTGAAGGGAAGGCGGCCTCACCCACTAGTCTTGTTTGTGTCCCTCTTCTCGGTGCCAGTTTGTTCTGAAAAGCTTAATTTAGTTCGAGAAATAGTCTAAATGCAACTGCATGGCGGAGACTCTGAAGCCAGAGATGGCGACCCCCTTGGGCCTTTCACCGCCCTCCGCCGCTCCTTCCCCCTCCAGAAGCCAAGCATAAACGTGGCGTGTTCTCGAAAGATCACCCCTGGCCGGGGCAGGTGGTGCGGCGCTGCCCTGTCCGCTGATGCGGTGGCCTCGAACCGTCTCTGCACTCGCGCGCGCCCTTCTCCTCTCCTCGCCGGGCTGGTGCATGTGCGGCGGCAGCCGGGAGCAACTGCACGGTCCGGAGCCCGGCACGGCTACGCTCCCCGTCCCCGTCCTCCCGAGCAGGTCCACCCCGCGGCGCTCGCGCAGGGGCCCTCGGCGCTCCTGCCCTCGCGGAGGCGCCCGCTCCCCTGTCGCCTCCGCTCTGCTGACACCGCCCTCCCCTTCGCCCGCGCCCGTCATCCTCGAGTCGCCACCCCACGTGTCCCCAAGCCCGCCCCTCCCCCACCGCCAGACTGCTGGTAGCTGCTAATCCCCACAGCATTGGTGCACTAACGCGGCTCGGCCTCCCCTCTCCGACTCTGCAGGCCCCGTATCCCTCTCCAAGTCTAACGCCAACGCCGTCTCCTCCATCCCCATCAACAAGGACACGCTCTTCGGCGGCGTGGTGAACCCCAACGAGGTCTTCTGCTCGGTGCCCGGCCGCCTGTCCCTCCTCAGCTCCACCTCCAAGTACAAGGTCACCGTGGCAGAAGTGCAGAGGCGCCTGTCGCCGCCGGAGTGCCTCAACGCGTCTCTGCTGGGCGGAGTGCTTCGGAGGTGAGGGGCCGAGGCTGGGGCGGGGCGAGCGTCCTCGCGCCTGTGGTTGGGTGGCGCGTGGCGGCCCGAGGAGCCTGGTGTTGGCGGGAAGGGAGCCCATTGGATGGGGCCTGCGCGGGACGGAGCCGTTGAGGCCCCACCGCGCGCTGCCTTGCGAGGGGCGCCCCTTCCTGCGGCCTTTCTGCCTGTCCGGAGCTTGGGCTCCAGAACGGGAGACGCCAGAACTCGGGGCACCTGCGCATGTTGGGTGTATTTTAATGTAAACACAGACAGGCTTGTTTGTTTGTTTGTTGTTAACATCCCGCTTATTCCTAAGGATTGGGCCTCTCAAGCTGGCTGCCTTTATTTAGACATGAAGGAAAAAAATAATGCTTCTACTCCAGCCTGCTTGGTTTTTCATTAGGACGTGAAAGGCCCTACTTTTCAGGCCCAGCATTTAAAATAAGTTCTGTCACCCTGGTGGTTTTGAGGCCTGCTCAAATATCCAGAGATATTTCAGGCCCAAGGATGAAGGCATGTTTGCCTGTTCTGCATTTGATAGTGCCTTCATGGCCTACCTTTTTGGATTAGCTTTTTCCTGCAATGAAGCTTCACTTGACATCTTTCTTAATAGGAATTTGTCACAGATTATGAAGGAAAATAGCTGAAATGATTGCTTAACCACCTGATGGACTCCTTAACTGGTCTTGTTTTCATCTCAGGGCTACTTCAGTGTCCAGTGTCCTTGTTTTAATATTTGTTCAGGGTCAATAGTTGCAAAACCTACCATTTTTGTGTACCCATGTGTCATTGGAGGTAATTTGGGAACATGAGAGTGTATGATTTAATATCAGAATGCCAGAACATCATGGGTTACTTTCAGTTCAAAACTTTAATGGAAGAATTACTTTTATAAATGACCTGGGTATTTTTAATGAGTTGGTTTCGTTGTTTCTGTCAAGCCATTGAACTTAGAAGACTTGCATTCAAATTCCAGCTCAGTTGCTAATGCAGTAGGTACTGTTGAGCAAAACATTGTCCCTCAACATTAATTTTGCACCTGAAAAAACCCACACTAAGAACACAGTCTACATAACAGGGTTGACATGTGTAACCTTATGAAAACAATAAGGTTACACAGCATTTTGTAAACTACAGATACTTGCTAAAAGACAGATGATTAGCATAATTAGTAATAAACATATTGTTGTCCGTATTGTTGTCTGTAGCCTGTGCCACCATGCTGCACAAATTCGGGCCTCTTGAACACATTAGTTTACACTACTTAAAGCAACAGCATGTCCTACCACAGGGCACCTATGCATCAAGTTAATACCAATAACAATAGCAAAGAACACTTTCCTTTCAGCATAGCAGGCCACATATTATAGCAAGTCTTGAAAACTAACACACACACCAGCTGAGGGCAGTGCCAGCATTTCTTTACTGTGGAAAGCCACTGGCTATGCTGTGCTAAGGGAATGTTTAGTCTTATCCAGCTAGCAGGCTACAGGGATATGACAAAGTGATTTTTAAAAGAAAACCAAATCTATATTTGAGCATAATGGTTAGTATTTTTCTAATTTGGTCTTTAGAGTAAATTGAGTGCAGTTGTCACAATGAAAGACAAATAACAACTTTTGATTAGTGTTTTAGGGCTGTTAATAAAGCAAAGAGGTCTAGCTAAACCAAAGAGGTCTAGCTAAACCAAGTCCCCATTGGATCATTAATGTGCACAAACATTAATAGTGGTTTTGACTTTGGTCACAATATGCAGAAATGCTATTGTCCTTGCAAGGATCACCTGGTTCCCGTATATGGTTTGTAGGCGATAAGAACACAAAGGGTGCAACTTTGGCTGTTTTGTTTCCATAGTTATTTCAGACACAAGGAAATATTTCAGCCCATTTCCCTGTTTTTCATTTAATTATGCTTTCATGGCCTATCATCCACGCTTAACATTTCCTGGAATGACATTTCAGTAAATACCTTTTCTAATAATAAGGATTTGTAAAGTAGTTTTAGAGGAACAGGTCTAAAAGAGTAGTAATAGGATCTGGTTCATATTAGTCATATGTTAAGCGTTGTTTTCTTAATGTCTGGAACAGGGCAAAATCAAAAAATGGAGGAAGATCTTTGAGAGAAAAACTGGACAAAATAGGATTAAATTTGCCAGCCGGGAGACGTAAAGCTGCAAATGTTACCCTGCTGACATCACTAGTGGAGGGTAAGTGATGGCTCTAGATTTGGCAGTGGGAAGGACATTCTTGAAGAAACTTGTGTGTGAGAATGTGTGAACTGAGCAAAACAGGAACCTTTTGGAGGCTTGTGCTGAAATGTTTATGGGAATTGTTTAATTTAAATCATTATGTCTGAGGAAAATGTTCATTTTGACCTTTTGCTTTGTACTTTTTCAAAAGGTGAATTGAAACTGTCAGCCCAGTCCAAAAACCATTTATGTCAAAATACTTTGGAAATGGGCTGAACTGAAATCTGTTCAGACTTAAATCTTTGTAATGCGTTTATGATCCAAGTGCCAAGTCTCAATGAAGTGAATGAAACTAAGTTGGCTTAAATTCTCAAACTTCAATTTAACTGGGTTGCTGGCAGATAGTCCACTTGCATTATAAAAGTAGGGCTGAAAACATTAATCGAGTAAGCGTAATTAATGAATTAATTTATTAATCACTGATTGACATAGTAGATTTTAATTGGATTTTAATCAGTGTAGTCCCAGTGAAAGCTGTACGGTATATGTATTAGGATTGATTCAGACAACCCTTGAAGCCTGTGTCCCTGCTTATGTTAGTTCTACTGGGAGTGACTAGATCCAAAGAAGTTCAGAATGCTGTGTATCATCATGGTCTATATCTTGATTCAGATTTTGATAAGCAAAAAGAGGTACAATAGTGATGGAGACAATTCTTGTCCATATTTTGTTTCAGCCAACAGGGACTGGTTGTGATGTAAACAATATATGATTCTTGGTTTGCATATTCAAAAGAAACCATTTCTTTTGAAAGATAGTTGCAACTTTTAATTGATTAGTGTCTTGATTAATTAGGCTCAAGCAAGTAAATGGACTGTGATTAAGAAATCAGAAGAGCTTGCACATTTGAGTTGAAACTGATTGAACTACAATCCAGTTACACTTAAATCTGCTTAATCCATTTATTTTACCAGATGGAGACCACTTCCTAAATGCATTCCTTTGCAAATATCTTATAAAGACCTCTCTGTGTACAAATAAATGTGTTCAGATGTAAATTTGTTCAAATCCAATTACTTCAGCTGAAGTGTATACTGTACTGTAGATTAAGCTGTAAGTTCTGTTGAATTCATTCTTACTTAGAAAGAACATACATCCAAATATTCTGGCTTTATTAATTTGTGAGTTGAGCAATTGAGTACAATTTTATCTACTATAATATATTTAGAATAGAGTATGTATTTTTTTACACTTGAAGCCCATGGTCCTGCTAGGATTCTGCTGGAGTGAATGAGCCATAAGACACTCAGAATAATCCCCAAGTATGTAATTGCAACATGTGTATAAAACTGGATCCTTGACAATTATCAAGAGTGGTGAGAAAAGACTCTGGGAATGAACCTTATTTCAGCCTTCCCTGATGCCCTCCAGAGGTTTTTGTCTTCAGCTTCCATCAGTTGTAGCTAGCATAGCTAATAGTCAAAAATATTAAGAGTTGTAGTCCAAAGCAACTAGAGAGCACCAGTTTGGGGAAGAATATCATATTTGCTACTTATATGACTGAATGTTTGGCAATGTTACAATAAATTAGAAATGGTAATATCTTATATTGTTGGCTACTGTCAATCCCAAACAAGTTTCCTCATAAATGAAGTCCCTATAGAGAACAAATATAAAGTTGGACAGACTAAATAGATCCACAAACACATGGCAGACCACTTTGGCCTATTCATCAGTGGGGCATTCCATGATTGAGAATAAAAGAATTTATAAAAAGTTCTAGCAGCTCTAGAAAACCTTTTCTTGCTCTCTGTATAGATAGTGCATATCAACATGTTTGGTTTTCTTTAGTGAATTTCTGTACCACTCAATAACTGAAATTCTCTGGGTGATGTTCAAAGCACCAATACCCTTCAGAGGAGACCCTATCTTTGTCAGCTGTCTTACACAGAATACCATGATCTGAATAATATATTCAAACAAATTTTAAACTTTTTGAAATGAGAAAGTTGTGTTTAGAAATGAGATCTGGAATGTATGTATTTATATTTGGCACATAACTTGTACGTAGCATTCATAAGATATAACAGGTAGACTTGGTGATCCAGTATTTGAGTAAACTGTGCATTAATGCAGCTGTTCAGTCCTCAAGTATCTCATTGTCTGTCTGTCATTAAGCAGTTTTAAATGTTAGGTGCTGCAGCTACCAGAAGATAAGTTTTTCTTGCTTTAAACTACATGGCAGTAAATCATTTAAGTTATTTTGACATCTGCATTTGAGAAATGCATGATCACTACTTCCTGAGTTAGTTTGGGAATCCTTGACCAAAGTCATGATTAAATGGTGTCCTGAAAGCCTTGCAGTCAGCCCCTGAACTCTGCTTTTGTTCTCCATTGCTGGAGAATACGGACACCTTCTTTGATACCATTTCCAATTATAACTATAAAAGAGGAATTTGACCATTTTAATGTTAAGGAAAAAGTGGGCTTGGTTCATTTGACCACATGCTTAATAATGGGAAAGAAATGTAATGGACGGGTTATAAAGACAGACACTTTGTTGCAGCTGTTGAAACAAGGAAATTGATATGGGTTGATACTCATGCAGCCTTTTTCTCCAGCTTTTAATTTCTGAGGTCTTTAACCCCGATTTTGGTTACTGTCCATGTAGAGTGATTTTTAAGCTGTCCTGGACCTCTGGGTTAACTTTGGTTTTTCTTAGACTCAGCTAATAGTTTTCTTTGCATAACTGCCCCCCCCCCCACCAATATTCAAAGAAGTGGAGCTAAAGCATGCTAAGAATGCCAGCCAGAACTGTGAAACTATCAAGGTGATTTTTTCTGCCATTAGTAACTAATGTATGCATATATGGTATGAGCAACTGATGTGCAACCAAACACAGCAACCGAAGGAAAATATTCAGTGGCTACTAAATGGATATGAAGGAAAATTAGACAGAGAAGGGAGAGCTGTATAAAAAATGTTGGTGAATGTTAATGCTATTGTAATTTTAAGCAACATGGAGAAGTTTCAATAGGATCTAAAGTTCTAAGGGAGGTTTAAAAAAACTAATTAGGATTTGATCCACTTATATTAAGGTGGGGGCAAAGAAGTAAGGGCTAATGTGCAGATAAACTGATAATAGTGGCTAATTATTTTTTCTCAAGAGATAATATACAGTTGTTTTGGCTGTGGGTCCCTGGGCGATGAGGCAGTTTCCAAAGTAATGTTATTGTTTATGATCCGCTCCATTTTATGGAAACAAGCTCACTGGACTGAGGCTTTGAAGCTCTAATTGGCGCATGCGTTCTTCCGGACCTAGAGCTAATGGCAGGAAGCCCTGCGGTAAAAACCAACTGGTTCAGGAAATTAAAACCAAAGATTTGAAAATCAACAAAACAGGCAGACTCAGTGGAATGACCCTAAAATTCTTATGGTTAATAGCTTGGGGGGCGGGTGGGAAGAAAAGGAGGGAAGGATGGATAATTATGTACGATCAAACTAATTTTTAACTACTTAACTATTTAATGTAGCACATTTAAGGGACTTACAGAAGTAATGATGATCAATAATCAGTATTAATCTCTGGTAAATGCTAAAAGAAACAGACGTATATATACATATTTAGTACGTTGTGCTTTCCATATATAAGCATAATTTATCTTTTTCTTTATGCAAGACATTGATGTTATTAATGATTCCTTAATGTATACAAATACAAACTCATAATTTCACTTATGCAAAACAGAAAACACTCTAAGACAAGTGCTTTAAATATATTGCTGTACATCGTGGGGGAAGTATTATTTAGTTGATGTGTTTATTAATCATATTAATCACAAACTCCTTCACTCCCGGAAACAAAATAGAACATGTCTTAATCGGATTTCTTGCCTCTGAAGAGGTAGTGTTCAGTACGGATGTTCATGATGTAAAGAACGTCTGCTGCCTGATTTAGAACATTGTGTTAAATGATCAGAAGCTGATAATTACCATCAAGAAACATCCACAAAATATTGCTGATATTGTCTTATTTATAATAATTAGTTCTTTTGATTATCTTACACTGGAATTCTCAATAGATTTTCTCTGACCCAGCCCATTACTTGACGATTGTAAATGTGCAGATTTGAGTAGGTTGGAGTTTTCATTGGCTGGAGTACATGCTAAAAGTACAATGGCATCCACTGTAGTCAACCAACAAACTCCCACTGATTTTTATGGAGAAAGTTGGCTGCCCAATCATGTCAGCTAGTTCTTCCTTTCTTATCCTTGTTTGAGCTTTATGTATTGATTAGATTTGTGCTCACATCCCACTCTTCATTTCAGGAGAAGCAGTGCATCTAGCAAGAGATTTTGGTTACGTCTGTGAAACTGAATTTCCTGCCAAAGCAGTAGGTGAATTTCTCAACCGACAACATTCCGATCCAAACGAGCAAGTCACAAGAAAAAACATGCTTTTAGCTACAAAGTAAGATATTTACCATTGCAGAATATCACAGAGGATGGTGTCTGTCTGGCTGCTTGTTTGTTTCATTATATGATTACCTTTTCATTTTATTAATTTGCATTTGCTTGTGGGTGTTAGTTTTCATCATGCATAAGAGACTTCTCTTAATGATGTACCTGAAGAGTATGCATTCATTGTTGAGGGGGAGGCTATATTATTGCCACCTGTATTGCTGAAGTCTAGTTAATACAAATGTATATCCTATGACAGTAGATAGTAATACTGCAAAAGCAATGTTTTTATTAGTGAAGGACATTTCTGGGTGTGTCTCATCTTAAACATCCAAAGAGGGGGGTTTAATAGCTTTTCACAATGAGGCAAAACTGTTTTGCACATTTCTGTTGCAATCCATTACAACTTACCTGATAATATACCCCACTTAACATAGTACAACTTACTCTTGGTTAAATATGTTAGAATTGTACTGTATGGCTGCATTTACCTGAGAGTCAGTCCCATTGAATTTATTGGATTTTACTTCTGAGTAGACACATACAGAATTGCACCGATAGCTGCGAATAGGTAATGTTAATCTCAGGGGAATTTATATCCCTAACAAAAATGTATAGGGTTAAGTTGCATATTGTACTCAGACTATTAAAATCTTTACTGCTTTTCATCCTCTTCTAAGACTTGTTTAGTACATGAACAAGAATATTAAACTATAAGCAGCAAAACTGCCAGTAGAGTTTATGGAGGAGGGCATTTGGGAAAGTATAGACAGGAAAACCATGAATAGAATTCCATTTTTTTGTGTGTGGTGCAGGAAGTGAGAAAGAGAAATCCGGGATTGCTGTGAATGATGTGTTTGCTGGAAATTAAAGACTTGTTTAGTAGTCCTTAATTACCGGTAGATGTCACAAAAGGGCATTTTGCCAGAGGGCACCTACTGGCTAAATGTGGGGGCAGTTTATGACTGGGAGATGTTTAACACTGGCCTTTAGAGAACCAAGTGTTTCAATATGCCCCTGCCGTATCTTTTCTGCTGTATTTCTCCCTCAACACTTTTCTCATATATTGTTTGAAATATGACTACTGAGCAGGTCCCTCCTTGTCATGCTTTATCATCTACATACATAGCATCAGCATCTTTCTTAATGCCAGAGCAGCTCTTGCTTCTGTTAAAGGGGAAGTCCTAGGATTGACAGGCCTAGCAGGAAGTTCCAGCTAAACTGTCTCCAGTGTACCCTTCTCCACTCATTCGTGATCATATTTTATGGAAAAGGCAGTAAAATGTTTCTATTTGTGTGAATGTCCATTATTATTTTTTTTATTCTGATATGGTAGATTAGATCAGCTAAGGATGTGAGTGGTACTGAAATGAAAGCAACTCACTTCCACACACACCCCTATCTGCCATAAGCCAGATATTGACTTAGAACCACAGATTTTTGAGAATTGTTTAGAAGGGATGCATGTTTGCCTCTTTCTCTCTTTGAGCCTATGAGCATGCATGCATTTGAAGGAAGAAGGGAAAGAGACTCTTGTGGTAAAGTGGAAATGCTGTGTATACATATGTGATTTCTGCTGCATTTTATTGAACCCTTTGCTGTTTTTCAGAATGTATACATGTATGTATGAGAGGGAAAAGCTGTATCAAAAGCAGGTGTTGATCTTAAATCTGTTGATCTTAAAAAGAGATCTTAAATGCTTGAAGGCAACATAAGTGACTGAACTTGGAAGAACAGATTCTAAAAAGTTTATATTTGGAAGTTGGGGCAGTATATGGAGTTAAAATTGAGAAGGTATTGAGGACTCTTATGTCTTACTGTTAATTTATTTGATTGTCAGTAGCAATCAAATAGTTGAATAAAATAAGGATGCAGGCCCTGCCTACAGAATACAGCCTGATATTCTAGACTCACAAAGAAAGGGTATATAAAAGAGAGGAGAAAGTGTATGGAGGCACATTGGCATGAAGATGGTTCAGTCTGAAAATGCATCCATTTGCTAGAAAGCAGAAGGAAAAAGATTCATCTTGGAAGATATAGATAGGGTGTGCACGTGGCGGAAAGAAAAAGAGAGAGGGTGAGGGAGATGAGGGAAAGAAAGAGAGCCTTGTTACATTCTGAATAGAGCATAATGGGTGGGGGGAGTGAGAGTAAAAAATAAATAAGAAAGATTCTGCCTGTGTGTATGCCTTTGCTTTGGAGGCATTGACTTCTTGGCTTAGCTGCTTGCTGACTAGACTGGCTAATTTTTTCTCGTGTTCTCCCTGCTTCTCCTTCTCTCTGCTCCATTTATGCTGCAGACAGATCTGCAAGGAGTTCACCGACCTGCTGGCTCAGGACCGATCTCCTCTGGGGAACTCTCGGCCCACCCCCATTCTGGAGCCTGGCATCCAGAGCTGCCTGACCCACTTCAACCTTATCTCACACGGCTTCGGCAGCCCTGCTGTGTGTGCTGCAGTCACTGCTCTGCAGAACTATCTCACCGAGGCGCTCAAGGCCATGGACAAAATGTACCTCAGCAACAATCCTAACAGCCACACAGACAACAGCAACAAAAGCGGCGACAAAGAAGAGAAGCACCGAAAATAAGGATTTCTCTCCTTTATCCCCTGCCCATCCAGCCAGCCTGGCCCTTCCATGCATTTGTCTTTCAGATTTCCCTCTCCCACATCACCCGAGGCTACAGCAGCAGAAGCCCAGAGATCTTCAGCCCCAGCATATTCAGACAGTAGGACTGGAAATCCACACTTCCCACCCTATCCTCAGCTCTCCTTTTTCCTTCCACCATCACTTGCCAGTTCACAACCAGTTACTATCCAGTCTGGAGCCTAAGAAAACGAACAAGGTGATGAAACCAGCCTAGGAGGAAAAGAGGGGAAAAGAGAGAATTTTTTGTCATCTGAGTTTGTGTGAACTTTACATTTTTTATTAAAAAAAATAAATAAACAGCAAAATAAAAAAGAACCTTTTTTCTAAAAAAAAGAAAGAGAAAAAGAAATAACATTAAGGATTGAGAAATAATCAATTAAATGTGGAGAAAAATTAACTTCGTTGGACTGAATCACCGCCTCCCCTTACATGAACTTCCGTTTAAGATTGTAGCCATATTTTAAAAAGAGCAAACGAAACGAAAAGGATGATGATTATGATGACATTTTATCAGTATTGTGAATAAACTTGAACACAAACCACATGCAGTTCCATGTCATGTCTTCAGTTGTAGAATCCTCTCTCCTGTCCAAGGTAAAGCGATCCATTTGAACTTTCTTATGGTAACACCGATTCACATTTCTTCTATAAGGGGATCAGTGTTCATGTATGTATATATTTATTTATGTGTAATTTAATGGGAATTGTAAATATGGTGAGTCTGTTTGAAGCTTTTTTATTTATCTGGTGATCTCGTTTACCTCTTGTTTAGTGAATTTTTTAATCTCCCCCCCCTTCTTGGTTCATCACTGTGCTTCATGGTTACTTATTTAGAAAACAGAGGTGGGAGGGGGATTTCGAGGGAAGGGGTGGCATTTTTCTGGGATTCATCACTTCAGCCCTGTTGTAGCATGTTTAAAAAAGGCGACAATAAAGCAGCTAAACAAATAAAATAACCTGGATTTTAAAATATATTATTAGTTTGACCTTTAGTTTCTCATTGGTAAAGTGGGGTGGGGCGGGGCAGAAATCACAACCAACCACTTCCACTTGAAATGATGTTGGTCCCCTTTCAGGGAAGGTTTTGTTTGTTAACATGTTAGTTTCTAACAACCCCTTGTGTGGTGTGGCTTTAAACAAAAGAAAGAAGAAAAAAGTTTATATCCAGTGTTTTTCTACTGAAAATATCATCAGAGCAATAAATTGATATTGTCTATTCAGATAAAGGATTAGGGATTATCTCCCCCCCACCTTTTCATTTTGAGTTGTCTTTTGGTTCAGAGAACTTCCATACATTTGGGACCACCTGGTATCCTCTATTTCCACCGGCCATATTGGAAGCAGTTATAGTTGTATTGTATTGAGTTGTGCTGGCAGTAGTTTCCATGCCTGTCAATGTATCATAGTCCTTTGTTGCCCAGATAAATAAATATTTGATACGCTTTATGTCGATTTTTTTTTATTCAGTGGCTGTCTTTACCCAGGCGTATTTTTGTTCTTGGCAGTATTTTTTATTCAGTATGGTTACAGTAATTGAGTTTAACTCTCCCTTGACAATTGCTCCTTGCAATAAGCAGCTGAACCCATTGTTTCCCTCAAGTATAATAAAAACTTACTTTCAAGTTGGAGTTCAGAGCAGGGTATCATTTAGATATTCCTCTGAGTCTGTATTCAGACAAATTACACAATAAAACACAATGTACTCTTTTGGATAAAAAATGTACTGTTAAAGAAATGGCATACTTTTCTTTAACTGAGAGGTCATTTTATTTTTAAAAAATAAAGTTTTATTTTATTTATTTGATCTTTAGGTTTTTATTCCTGCTTCATAATTATGCATCAGTACTCAGTCTTCAAGGTTTGTCATAACATTATTTTGCATTGCTTTTTTATTTTTAATACCATTTATGGAGGAGGGGGGAACAAATAAATCCCTGGGTATGTACAAGTGTATGCATATGCACATAAAACATATGCATACAACTTTGAAACAATCATTTGTGTGCCTAGTATGTTAAAACACTTACACAGTGTGAATATGCTTCCACCAGCAATTGAGTGATAGTTAATAAAGTATGGTCTTATGGTAAGTATCTGATAATATTTGTGTGTGTGTGCACATGTGTGTGCACACATACACAAAACCAATGTATATATTGAATTGTGTATGTATAATCTATTTTTAATATTTTGGATGAGGCAGGATGAGAAGGTCGTTATGTCTAAGTAATACAAGTTTAAATTATAGCCAGTGCAAAGGCAATAGTGGATACAAAATATCCTCTTCTTTTCAGATGGCAAAATTGGTATTCAGTTAAAATAGATATTGCTTGTTTTTGACAACTAGCATTGGCTCAAAATGTACTATTGTGAAAACTGCAATTACCCTAACTGTGTGAGTTTCATTGTGGTGTTTTGTGGTGCAGAGTTGGCTTATGTAAAGGTGGCTTTGTTAGAAAAGAAATGGAGGAAGGAAACACTGTCCTTAAGATGTTCTCCCTGTGGAACTTTTTAAAAAAGCAATTTGCTTGCAATGCTTATTTGGAATACTAAACCTGAAGAGTGAGGAAAACATTGTGAAACTTACTTCCAGGACAATTTGGTTGGCTCCAGCACAGATTAATTGGGTCCATCTTGTATTCTGTTAGTATTGCAAAATAGTTGAGTATATGACGATATTTTTAGGAGACTTTGCATCATTTTCTTGAGGTGTTCTTTTTCTAAGACAGAATTGAAAGAAGCTAAGCAGCTTGATATATTTTTAGTGGATCTGCAATGAGAATTAGGACCTTTGCATCTTTAGTTTTACTGTTGGTGGGTGAAGCAAATACACAAGATAAAGTACATGTTTCCTGTTTGAGCATCTGTTTAGGAAAGGTGGTAGAAAACAACTGTGGCAAAGCAGAAGAAAGTTAGTACGGTTTTGAAATGCTATTTTGCAGTGAAAAGCTGATTATAAAATGCTGTGTATGTGCGTGCGCTCATATAATTTTGAATGGAAAGGAATTGGAAGATCTTCTGCATATAAAAATGGCATCATTTTGAAAATGCTTATTCATCTCCCACCCCCACCAAAATATATTGGTTAACTGTAAAGTGGATGTAACAAAATAATGAGGTGAATGAACCCTAACTGTACATGCAGCCTTGACATAAATGAAATGCACAGCGTTGTAGCAGGTGAAGTGAAGCATTGTCTATCTGGGCTGTTTTTCTTGGCTGCATCACAGATTGCGTGGGGGATCCTAACCTCAGGCACAATGGCATTCATAAACAGCAATGCACACACTGCTGCTCTTTCTCCAGCAATGCATAAATACTCATTTTTAAATGAAAAACAATCTTATTAAATACCATTCATTCATATCTGGATTTACAGATGCTTGTTACTTTTTTTTTTTTTTTTAACTCTGCCTAATCGTTTTAGGCTATAACTGGGCAATGTGTAAAACAGGCTTAATCTTAGAACACAAGGAGGTCCTAATAATTTTAAGGATGTGAATAATGTATTTTGGATATAAAATACCATTTAAGAAAAGCAGTGCAATAAATATTGCATATTGGATATATTGCAAACACGTCTTTAAGAACTTATCATAATTAGAGCCTTGTAATATTCAAACATTAAACCAATGTTACTGACAACTAACATTTATACATTGCTCAGTTATAATATTAAAAGATTATATATAATTAACCAATTGATTTTGGAGTACTACATTTTTAAGGCTGCTATCCGAGGCTAGTAAAATCAATCAGAGCTTTGCTTTTGCCGTCAATGCCACCCTGAGAATCCAGTCAAACACCTTTACTTGGAAGTAAAATTCATTGAAAGCAGTAGATCTACTTTGAAGGAAATGAAAGTTGGAATTAGTTTGCTAATTACTAGTTCAGTTGCAATTTTTCATTAGCTTAATAATTTTCATTATTATCTTGAACTCCAAAAATGTTGAATGAGACTCATATTCTTAATGGAATATAGTTGTCTTGGTTTACTTTTGATGAAATCTACTTCCAAGTAACCCTTTTAAGGACTGAGATATTGATAGTTCTTAGTAAGGTACCTCTCCTATTTCACTTTAGAGAGATGGCTTGAGGTTACCTTTATGTTCCTATTACAATATTTTTTTATTTCGAGTTTGTTGATAGGGGTTGTTTCTTTTTTAATGGGTACTTTCCCAGAGATGTAATAATGAGAATGATACTCCTTGCAATTTGGGGCTCATCTGCTGTGACCAAAGTGTAGTTACCAAATCATGCTAATTACTTTCATGTTTGCATGTGTGTGTATGGGGGTGGTGTTGTAAGCATTGTAATCAATCATTGTTTCAGCCTTTCAAATTCTAGGCCATACTTTTAACTGTTAACCCTAAAATGCCCCTTTACAGATTTAACTGAAATTAGGACAACTGGTTAAATGTTAATGAGTTATAGCTCAGACCCTACATACTATGCTAATTTATGCATTTTTTAAAAATGTAGCACAATGCTTCTTCAAGCTGACTGGTTACCACCCTCCTCTGTAATAAATCATCATCTATCCCTCCTCCTTCCCAACCTCCAAAATCGAATATTAATATAATTTGAGATTTAACTGGTGGAACAGCCATCAGGACAGCAATGCCCTGCAGCTGAAATAATATTTAAAATAGAAGAGATTTGACATTTGATAAGTCAGTGGCTTGAAATACCCAGTTGTACTTAGCTAATTCAGTCCTTAACCTCTGGTTTCAAATAAATCAATTACAGTCGATTCCACTTCAGTTCAGAAGTGCATGAGGTTTTGAGTTAATTGAATACATTTTATTCACTTGCTTGGAATATTCATTTATCCAAAACCTTAAATATAAAGGAGAGTTCTTTGATTGTCATGTTAAATCTAACTGCATAATCAGATCAAGCCTTTGCTCGTTTGCTTGGATTCTCTCTAAATTTCATAA